GGCCATCGAGGCGGAGCGCTCCATCGTGGCAGGCAGCAACCAGGGCGTGAAATTGGCCAAGCTCTTCCTCCTCCTCCTCCTCCTCCCTTTCCTCCTCCTCCCTTTCCTCCTCCTCCTCCTCCTCCTCCTCCTCCTCCTCCTCCTCTTTTTGTACCCGCTGATCCTGGCAGTCAGCTCGGGCGCTCCCGCTGTCGGCCGCAGCGCCCTCGTCGACGACGCTGCCTTCCGCCTGTCGGAGGGAAGAAAGCGAGCAGCCATCGACAGCATGGGCGGCACCATGGAGACCTTCGCCAAGCAGTGCGAGGCCGCCAGGCTTGCGCTATCCCCCAAGTCCGTCGCAGTCTTCTCTGACAGCGACGGCTAGGAAGGCAGCACAAGACGCCGAACGCCATGGAATGCCAGCCGCTGCAGTCAGCCACGCCGTTGACCTCGGCGTAGGCACTACAGCGAGCGGGAGGCGCACCCAAGCCAAAGCTAACCAGCGAGGCGAAGCGGTGGCAAGGCGCATCCAGGGCATCCATCGCATGAGGAAGCGCGCACAGCTGGGCAAGTACGCCACCAAGTTGCATCGCGCGGGAGCCCAGCCTGCGCTGATCTACGGCCACCAAGTCCTCGGCACGGCACCCTCGATCGCGTTGAGGCTACGACGACTGGCCGCGCGGGCCGTTGCTGGCAGGTGTTTCTGTGGACGCTTGAATGCCACCCTAGCCGTGCTCCAGGGCGACAACGACCCTGGTCTGGCTCTACCTCGGCAACTGCTGGCAGAATGGTTGCAACATGGGCGTCGGCACCCTGAGTGGAGCGAGCTTGACGCATTCTGTACGCGGACCTCAGGGACCCTGAGGGACCGCCACCCTGCCAAGAGATGGGCCAAGGTCAAGGGCGCCATCTCGGCGGTCATCTGCACGCTCCTCACGATCGGCTGGGACGCTACTCAGGCGACGGAGTGGGAGTTAGATATTGGAGAGCTTTGGAGAACGGGCGACCTCGAGGAGGTGGATGATACCGAGCTCCTTGGTGAGATAGGGGCCAGTATCAAGCGCGACTGGTGGACGAGAGCGTCGCAGCACGAAGCCAGCACGGGTCTTTAGGGCAGCGCTGCCTTGTACCAGGTACGACGGCAGCTGGCACGCCTTCAGATCGGTGGTGAGAATTATACGTGGGCGCTTCTATTGCAGGCGGTTGCTGGAGCGTCGTGGCCACAAGTGAGGCAACAGGCTAGGGGTCTTGCTGATCACGATCTCTGCCCACGATGCGGTCCGCAGGAGATCAAGGGACCCTGGGACACACAAATAAATCCACACAAATAACCGGATTCTCCATATTTCCCCGTATGCTCTGGGTTTTTTATCTCCCCCCCACTTCCCACATGTTTCCACATGTTCCTGGGAATCGTCGATGAATTGTGTCTGTGCTTTTTTCTCCCCTTCTGGGAGAGGCTGTTTCACCGTGTTACGGCCTTGCCCGTGCAACGCGAGCCACGCCGACTACGCCTCCACGCAGGGCGTGCTGCAGCGCGCGCTGGAAGTGCACGAGCAGAGGCCCCGCCCGTGGCTCCGCGGCAAGCCGCCTGCCTGCTGGACCAGGTGCGCGTGCCCCGCCGCGCGCCGCGGACCTCGTGCGGCACGCGGGCGACTGGCAGGCCGTGGAGGGCCGGCGGCACAGCGACGGCTCCGTGGACGCGTTCGGCGACGGGCTCGGGCGGCACGAGGAGGAGGAGGAGGAGGAGGAGGCGGAGGAGGAGGAGGAGGAGGAGGAGGAGGAGGAGGAGGACGACGAGGAGGAGGAGGAGGCCTGCCTGGGCCTCGCCCGCCGGTGCCGCGCGCGGATCCTCCTCGCCTCCCCCCCGGCCCCGACGCTGCGCCGGCCGGCCCCCTGCGGCACCACGCCGACCACGTGCGGCTCGTCCAGGGCTTCCTCCTCCTCCCCCTGCTCCTCTCCTCCTCCTCCTCCTCCTCCTCCTCCTCCTCCTCCTCCCTCCTCCTCCTCCCCCCCCTCCTCCTCCTCCTCCTCCTCCTCCTCTTATTCCTCCCCCTCCTCCTCCTCCTCCTCCTCCTCCTCCTCGTCCCTCCTCCTCTTTCCTCCTCGCCCCGCGGGGGGCCGAGCGCTGACCTGCGGCTCGCTGTGCGAGCTGCGCTGGGAAAGCGGGGAGTTGGTCCTTTTTCTCCAGAGCCATCAGGCTGAGGAGTCGACGTGTCATGAGGCCACCCCTTCCAGCGCTCTGGCAAACATCGCGGGCAGTGAGCTTGCGGAACTGAGCGCGGGCGAAGCTGCCGCCGAAGCCCTGCGTAGAGCCACCGTGAAGCCCGAGGTCGGACGCATCGATGCGATCGCCCACCTTGTGCGTCGTCGGGCGGCCCGTGCCAATCTGGGTCGTACGGCCCTCGACCCCATCACATCCAGCCATGAGGCCAAAGAGCCGCGTCCTCGTAAGCAGGCCCTGCGAACTGCCTCGTCGCGCCACCATTTGGAGAGAGTGGGTGCGAGGTGGTATTGCAGGATCTCTGATGGTGCGGCCTCGCGCGCGGACCTGGAGTGGTTCGCTCCGTCCGAGCGCAGGCCCACTCGGTCTGCTCGAGCAGGAGCGGCGTGCGTCCAGCGTGGCGTGACGGGATCGGGTGGGGCTTCGTCGTCGTCGTCGCGGAGTGCAGGCGGGAAAGCACTGCACGGTGCGCACACCCTCCCGTATATCGATTGTATGAACCTTACGTTTTGTAGTCGTTGCGGGTGCTATGCCCGTACCTGTGCGGATACCCTTGCCAATGAGTGTCGCCCGTTGGGGCGGCCCCGCACGGCCAAAGGCAAACAGAACCTGGCCAGAATCGAGAAAGGTTTGTGGCCGCATCCACAAGGGATGCCCGTTAAAATCCGTGAGGCGCTGCATCTGAGGAATGCGCGGCGCGCTATTGCTGAGGCCAGTAGCAGTAAGATATAGGTGGGGCCCCGTACATTGTACGTATCAAGTAATCCTTCCAGGTAATCCTGCCCCCGTCCGGCCCTGGCGCCGCCGTTGCCGCCACAACCCCTTTCTCTTCCTCATCCGCCATCTCCTCCTCCTCCGCTACCGCCGCCGACTTCGCCCTTGCCTCCTGCTCCCAACCAATCGATCCGAACCCCATGCCAATTCCTGGCCGAGCTCCTATGCCTACCACTCCATTTTCTACCCCCTACCATCCCTCCCTTTCTCTCTCCTCCGCTCTCCTCCATTCTTCTCTCCCTGCCTCTCCTCCTCTCGTCTACTACTCCCCTCTCGCCCTCCTGCCAGTCATGTTCCATTCGGATCCCTCTCACCCCCTTATAGTTTCCCCTCACCTTTTCTTGGTAGTCACCTCTCCCCGCTCCCTTTCCCTTCCCCTTCCCCTTCCCCTTCCCCTCCTCATCCTCCTGACCTTCCTCCTCCCCACCCTCTTCCATTCCCATCCACTCGTTTTCCTGCTCTCTCTCCCCCTTCCCCCTTCCCCTGAACACCACCACCACAACCGCACACTTCCTCCTCCTATCTGTCTTCACCTCTCTCTCTATCCCTCTCTTGCTCTCGTGCTTTCTTGATTTACCGATTGCCCTCTCTCTCTCTTTCTCACCCTCTCTCGCTCCCTCTCTCTCTCTCTCTCCCCTTCTTTGTTATTTATGTGTTTCTCTCTCTCGCTCGCTCTACATGTATATTACACACCTGTATCTTACACATATATATATATATACACATACATACATACATACATCCATCCGTCCATCCATCCATCCATCCATCCATCCATCCATCCATCCAGCCAGCCAGCCAGCCAGCCAGCCAGCCAGCCAGCCAGCCAGCCAGCCAGCCAGCCAGCCAGCCAGCCAGCCATCCATCCATCCATCCATCCATCCATCCATCCATCCATCCATACATACATACACACACAGACATACATACATACATACATACATACATACAGACAGACAGACAGACAGACAGACAGACAGACAGACAGACAGACAGACAGACAGACAGACAGACATACATATTATATATGTATCCCTGTCCCTCTCTCCTTCATCCCTCCCTGCGCGCTCCTCCCCCCCATTCCATCCACCCCCCAACCCTCAGTGGGGGAGGAGGAGGCCCATTCCATCCACCCCCCAACCCTCAATGGGGGAGGAGGAGGAGGAGGAGGAGGAGGAGGAGGAGAAGGAGGAGGAGGAGGAGAAGGAGGAGGAGGCGGAGGAGGAGGAGGAGGATATGGACGACGACGGCGAGGCGGAGGGCTCCATCGTCCCAAGCCCAATCGCCCCTCCCCCCCTTTCACACCCATGACTCCGACGTCCTGATACTTTCTCACGGCGTGGAGCCCTGGAGGTCAGGACCGCTTCCCCGCGGAACTGGCTCTGCATCCCAGGACGCTTGTTGACGGGACCGGGGCCTAGTAAGGGCCCCCGGAGGCCGAAAGCTGTAAAGAAGCGTCCGTCGTGATTCCTTCCTCGACGATAGGCCATGCGGGCAACCCATCGTCGGCGTCGCCGTATCCTGCTATGGCAACTTATGGGGGCCTCCCAGGTCATCTTGCTGGCTTTTGTGAATCGACGCTGACCGACGGCAATCGACACTAATAGACGCAGAGTCGACGCGAATCGACGCTAAATCGGCGCTGTCTCATCGACTGCCCAAAAAAGTCGACGCCAGTGCGCTCTGGAGACGGACTTGCGAGGGTACACAAGGCTCCCACGATTTGCTACCGAAGTCGTCGGCGTCGTCGTACTCCGCGCTGCGTCGGACCCAGGACAGAAAAACGTTCTTCAAAAACATCAGACCCCCCGCCGGCCAAAACAACCAGAACATCCAGGGGTACCCTCCCGAGGATGCACAAGAACACCCAACAAAAACGAAGAACACAAGGGCACCCCCCCGAACCGAAATCACCTCGACCTTCTGCATCGGTCCGACTGTACACAAGGCTCCCCGAAGTTGCTGCCGAAGTCGTCGGCATCGTTGCATACCCCCGCGCTGCAAAGCGTAGGGGGGGGCGCTCCGACAGCAGCCGGACGCAGTGCTCCTCGACCTGCTGCACCACCTCTGCCCTGACAGCGCCGCCGGCAAGGTCGCCATCTGCAGTGCGGGGGAACTGGGGGGAGGCGGAGCAAGCAAAGGAGCAAGAGAAGCAAGCACCAGAAAAGGAGAAGGAGGAACACGCAACAAAACGGAGGAGGAGAGGCGTGGAGAGGAGGAGGACGAGGAGGAGGAGGGTTGAGGAGGAGGAGGAGGAGGAGAAGGAGGAGGAGGAGAAGGAGGAGGAGGAGGAGGGAAGAGGAGAAAGACAAGGGGGAGGAGGAGGAGGAGAAGTAACTTGGAACATCTGGGGGGGGGGGCGACGTCTGCTTCGCATCTATTGCCGCCGAGGCCGCCTGCAGCCGATCTTGCCGAGGGGCAGCTTGACGGCAGGAAGAGGTGGAAAAAAGGCAGGAAGGGGAGGGGGGAAACGGAACACGAGGAGATGAAGGGATGAGGAGAAGGGAGAAAGAAGAAGGGGGGCTGCGAAGGAGACGGGGGGAGGGAAGAGGATGAAGGACAATTTAAAAAGGAGGCTTCGAAGGAAAGGGGCAGGAGGAAGCAGTGCGGAATGCAGAGTGAGCAGAGCAGGGGACGATGAGAAACAACATTCACTAAAAGGGAACATTCGCCGAATACTGGACGGGGGTAGCTGGCAGGAGACGTAGTAGTAGTAGTAGTAGTAGTAGTAGTAGTAGTAGTAGTAGTAGTAGTAGTAGTAGTAGTAGTAGTAGTAGTAGTAGTAGTAGTAGTCGTAGTAGTAGTAGTAGTAGTAGTAGTAGTAGTAGTAGTAGTAGTAGTAGTAGTAGTAGTAGTAGTAGTGGTGGTAGTAGTAGTAGTAGTTGTTGGTGTTGGTGTAGTAGTGGTGGTGGTGGTGGTGGTAGTATTAGTAGTAGTAGTAGTCGTCGTCGTCGTAGTCGTAGTCGTAGTCGTAATAGTAGTAGTAGTAGTAGTAGTAGTAGTAGTAGTAGTCATAGTAGCAGTGTAGTGTAGTAGTAGTAGTGTCGTCGTAGTAGTAGTAGTAGTAGTAGTAGTAGTAGTAGTAGTAGTAGTAGTAGTAGTAGTAGTAGTAGTAGTAGTAGTAGTAGTAGTAGTAGTAGTTAGTAGTAGTAGTAGTAGTAGTAGTAGTAGTAGTAGTAGTAGTAGTAGTAGTAGTAGTAGTAGTAGTAGTAGTAGTAGTAGTAGTAGTAGTAGTAGTAGTAGTATAGTAGTAGTAGTAGTAGTAGTAGTAGTAGTAGTAGTAGTAGTAGTAGTAGTAGTAGTAGTCGTAGGAGTAGTAGTAGTAGTAGTAATAGCAGTAGTAGTAGTAGTAGTAGTCGCCGCAGTAGTCGTAGTATTAGTAATAGTAGTAGCAGTAGCAGAATTAGTGGTAGTCGCGGTCGTTGCCGTGGTCGTGGCCGTAGTCGTAGTAATAGTAGTCGTAGTAGGAGTCGTAGTAGTAGTAATAATAATAGACGTAGTAGTAGTAGTAGTAGTCGTCGTAGTCGTAGTCGTAGTCGTAGTCGCAGTCGTCGTCGTCGTCGTAGTCGTAGTAGTAGTAGTAGTAGTAGCAGTAGTAGTAGTAGTAGCAGTGGTAGTAGTAACAATAGTTGCCGCAGCAATAGTCGAATACATACTGTTAGTAGTAGTTGTAGTAGCCGTTGTAGTAGTAAAAGTAGTAGTAGTAGTAGTAGTAGTAGTAGTAGTAGTAGTAGAAATAGCAGCAGCAGCAGCAGCAGTAGTAGTAGTAGTAGTAGTAGTAGTGGTGGTGGTAGTCACAGCAGTAAAACTAGTAGTACTACTACTCGTAGTGGTGGTAGCCGTAATGATCGTAGCGGTAGGCAACGTAGTAGTAGTAGTAGAAGTAGTAGTAGTAGTAGTAGTAGTAGGAGTTGTAGTATTAGTAGTAGTAGTAGTAGTAGTGGTATTATTATTATTATTAGTAGTAGTAGTAGTAGCAGCAGTAGTAGTAGTAGTAGTACTAGTACTAGTAATAGTAGTAGCAGTAGTAGTAGTGGTAGTAGTAGTGGTAGTAGTAGTCGTAGTAGTAGTAGTAGTAGTATAGGTAGTTGTAGTAGTAGTAGTAGTAGTAGTAGTAGTAGTAGTATTTGTAGTAGTAGTGTAATAGTCGTCGTATAATAGCAGTAGTAGTAGTAGTAGTAGTAGTAGTAGTAGTAGTGTAGTAGTAGTAGTAGTAGTAGTAAGAGTAGTAGTAGCATTAGTAGTAGTAGTATCGTAGTAGTACCAGTAGCAGTAGTAGTAGTAGTAGTGTCGTAGTAGTAGTAGTGGTGTAGTAGTAGTTAGTCGTAGTAGTAGTAGTAGTAGTAGTAGTGTACTAGTAGTAGTAGTGGTAGTAGCAGCAGCAGTAGTAGTTGTAGTAGTAGTAGAGTAGTAGTAGTAGTAGTAGTATCGTATCAATAGTAGTAGTAGTAGTGTCGTAGTAGTAGTTAGTAGTAGTAGTCGTAGTTAGTAGTAGTAGTAGTAGTAGTAGTCATAGTCGTAGTCGTAGTAGTAGTACTACTACTACCACTACTACTACTACTACTACTATTACCGATACTACTGTCACTCTACCACTACTACTACTACTACCACTACTACTACTACTACTACTACTACTACTACTACTACTACTACTACCACTACTACTACTACTACTACTACTACTACTGCGACCACTGCTAGTAGTAGTACTACTACTACTACTACTACTACTACTATTACTACTACGACTACTACTACTACCACTACTACGACTACCACTACTACTACTACTACTGCTACGACTACTGCTACTACTACTACTAATAATAATAATAGTCGTAGTCGTAGTCGTAGTCGTAATCGTCCTCTTTTCCCCCCCCCCAGCGCACGAGATTCGTTTTGTCTTCGTTTCCCATAGCAAAATGACACCACAGATGAGGAAACAAATGCGTCTCAAATGCAACCTCTTTGTTGCACCATACCGCGCGCACCATGCCCCTGAACCCCTTTCAAAGCAGAGATCAACAGAACCAGGGGTGGCACTACATATGAGGAATCAAACGCGTCTCAAATGCAACCTCCTTGTTGCACCATGCCGAGCACTCCATGGCCCTGGACCCCTTTTCAAAGCAGGGAACAGCAGCACACGGGTGGCACTACAGATGAGGAATAATTTGCGGCTCAAATGCAACCTCCTTGCTGAATTTGCCTGAGGGGGGTGAGGCAGAGGCGGAGGAGGAGGAGGAGGAGGAGGAGGAGGACGAGAACAAGAGCGAGGCGAGGGAGACAGACAACAGCGTTGTGTGTGTGTGCATCTCAACGATGTCCAACCGACTATTAATTAGACAGCACACAACGACAAGCTAAAGGACAATGCACAGTTCAATAAATCAACAAACGACCCTGCGGCGATGCGGATGATAAAAAAACTACCGAACATTCTACCGCGCGTGAGGCGGAAGCAAGACGGGAAGAGGAACGGGGCAAGAACGGGCAATATTAGCGCCGGCTGGGCGGTGTATGCCAAAATGGGCGCAAGCACTTACCAATATTGCAAAGGGCATCACTAAATGGATGAGGCACGGCAGTGCCCCGCAGCAACGGAGTGCCGAGCCCATGCGGCGAAAGGGCGAGCCCCGGGCGGCAAGAGCGGCCCGAGTGGTCGGCCAACCGCGGTCGTGCGCTAAGCCCACACACGCTGCCCGTGCACAAATTAAAGCGAGAGGCGGGGAGGAGGAGGAGGAGGAGGAGGAGGAGGAGGAGGAAGGCATGAACGATTCTTGCCCCGGTGCCGGTGCCGGTGCTGGTGCCGGTGCCGGTGCCGGTGCCGGTGCCGGTGCCGGCGCGGTGCCGGCGCCGGTGCCGGTGCCGGTGCCGGTGCCGGTGCCGGTGCCGGTGCCGGTACCGGTGCCAGTGCCGGTGCCGGTGCCGGTGCCGGTGCCGGTGCCGGTGCCGGTGCCGGTGCCGGTGCCGGTGCCGGTGCCGGTGCCGGTGCCGGTGGCCGGTGCCGGTGGCCGGTAGCCGGTGCTGGTGCCAGTGCCGGGGCCGGTGCCGGTGCCGGTGCTGGTGCTGGTGGCCGGTACTGGTGCGGGTTCTTGTTTTCCCAGAACATCCTCTCCTTCTCCTTCCCGCCTCCCGCCTCCCAGTGCCCCTCCCGCCCCTCCAGAGAGGCCCCGCCTGAGCGAGGAGGGTATCGGAAACCCATCTTATTTACATGGTTTCGTGCCCTTCTCACCTCTCCAGGGAGGCCCCGTCTGAGCGAGTTGGGCATCCCACCCCTCCAAGGAGGCCCCGCCTGAGCGAGGAGGGTATCGAAAACCCATACTATTTACATGGTTTTGTGCCCCTCCCACCCCTCCAGGGAGGCCCCGTCTGAGCGAGGAGGGTATCGGAAACCCATCTTATTTACATGGTTTCGTGCCCCTCCCTCCCCTCCAGGGAGGCCCCGCCTGAGCGAGGAGGGTATCGGGAACCCGTACTATTTACATGGTTTCGTGCCCTTCCCAACTCTCCATGGAGGCCCTGCCTGAGCGAGGAGGGTATCGGAAATGAATAAAGATTACATGGTTTCGTGCTCCTCCCACCCCTCCAGGGAGGCCCCGCCTGAGCGAGGAGGGTATCGGAAACCCATCTTATTTACATGGTTTCATGATGCCCTTTCCATCCCTCCAGGGAGGCCCCGCCTGAGCGAGGAGGGTAACGGAAACCCATACTATTTACATGGTTTCGTGCCCTTCCCACCTCTCCAAGGAAGCCCCGCCTGAGCGAGGAGGGTATCGGAAACCCATGCTATTCACATGGTTTCGTGCCCCTCCCACCCCTCCAGGGAGGCCCCGCCTGAGCGAGGAGGGTATCGGAAACCCATGCTATTTACATGGTTTCGTGCCCCTACCACCTCTCCAGGGAGGCCCCGTCTGAGCGAGGAAAGTATCGGAAACCCATACTATTTAAATGGTTTCGTGCCCCTCCCACTGACATGGGTGAGGAGGAGGGGAGAACATTACCTATCCATCTCACGTCCTACTCCTCCCACTGAGCAGGGTGAGGAGGAGGGGGAGTTCTGCGATTAGGAAGGCTTCATCATGATGATGGTGATG